GTAGCAGAGACTTTTCTATAAATAGCCACCATTTCTCCCCCTAAAAGGCCCTATTCAAAGGTCTCCATGTCTGTAACATACATCCAACCCCTTTCTTCAATAACTAAATCCCTCCCACCACATCAAAATCAACTGCTCCTTTCTTTGAGTTGCCATACCTTTTTGTTCATGGCTCTATTACACATAGCACCTATCACAAGATAGCAAGAGTGAGTTGTTTGTACGATGGTCTCTCACATGAGTATATGAGATCCTGGAAGATGGAGCTGTCAGCATTCTCCAGTAACAGTTTATGCTGTATCTTAATCATAAGAAAGGAATCTAGAGTAGTGTTGTAAATAAGAGCACAGGGTTTACAGTAAGATAACTAGCTTCTGATTCCATCTCCACTTGACAAGAGACAAATTACCTAGCCTTTTTGTGCTTTAGTTTCCTCATCTATAAAATAGCGATAAAAATAGTACTGCCTCATAGGCTGTTGTGCTTATTGAGTGAGTTAATAGATGAAAATAATTTAGAATAGTGCCTACTATTTGCTCAGTAAGTATTAGTTAACATTCATCATCATCATCATCATCATCATCATCATCATCATTAAATTAGAGTTGGGCCACAGTCATTGGGATTGAAGCAATCCCAGATAGCCACTTGGTACTCCAAAATGAGACAGCCAGATTTTTTCAGAAGAAAAAAAAATTTTTAAGTTTTTTCTTTCTTTTTTTTCACATTTCATTTTCTTCTGAGTTGGACTTCTTGTACAGAATGTTTCTTGGAAAGATTACTTATTAAAATAAGAAATAAGTTTACTTATGAAATGTCATTTGATAATTTAGTTGGCATGAAGTTACCATACGAACACACACTGCGTATAACAGATTGAACTCAAGAGATTTAAAATGACAGAAGAATAAGTGCATTGTCATAGGCAGTGGCAATAACAACTATGGCTCACTGGCGAGCCATTCAAATTCGACAGTAGGTATGACTATGCCATTTTCCACCAGAGTGACAATCAAACTCTCTGGTATCTTCATTTATTTCTTAATTATGGCAATATTAATATAAAGAGTGCTTTTGGGGAAAGATGGAGGAAGCGACATGTAGATTATTAAAACAATAAAGGGATAGCAAACTCTTCTGATTAACTTCATCAGGAAAAAGTTTATGTTCCACTATACTATGACTAAAATTCCACTAAAATGATTATTTTTAAATGAATGTTTTATTTTTATTATTATTTCAACTTTGCTGAAAAATAACAGTGATTTCTGATACAAGTTGAGGCATCAATGCTGTGAAAAGATACACCTTACATGTACCAGTGCAGAAAATAATTATTATTTTCCTTCCAAAAAGTCACATAACCCCTATGGGAAGGGCAGCTTGAAAGAAGCTATCAGCCTATCACAGCTTAATCTCTTGAATTATCATACAATTCCATTATGTATGCAATTGTGACTATGAGTGTGGTGGTCTTCCTTGTCTTAATGAATAATTAGCTTTCTGCAAGCAAAGGAAGTGATTTCTATTTCCACCAATATGCAGGTTTAACTGTGTGTCAGGAATAGTGGCATAATTCCCTGGGCACTTGATAATCTTGAACATATTTAGTATAAGAAAAGTCATTCAAATATAGTCACTGTATATTATAACCTGCCAAAATATATGTTTGTTAAATAAAGATATGGCTTAGGAATTATACTGGGTTCAATAGTGTCCCCCAACGTTCATGTCTATCAGGAATCTGCGAATGTTGACTTTATTTTAAAATATCGTCTTTGCAGATATAATCAAGTTAAATTGAGGGCATACTGGATTATGACGGTCCCTAAATCCAATGACTAGTATCCTTCTAATAAGAGAGAAATTTTGACCCAAAGACAGATGCACAGGGAGAACACCATGTGACAATGGAGACAGAGACTTAGTGATACATCTACAAGCCAAGGAACATCAAAGATTGCTGGCAACCACCAGACACTAGGAATAGTCAAGGAAGCATTCTTCCCTAGAATCAAGATGATACCTTGATTCTGGATTTCTAGCCTTCACGACTCTGAAAGAATAAATTTTTGTTCTTTTAAGCCACCGAGTGTATGTGGTACTTTGTTATGGCAGCACTAGGAAACTAATACAGGAATCTTCGTGGGTCCTCTATCGCTTCCCGTATTTCCTTGAAGTAGCTCTCTCAAGAGTCTTCTATTTAATGCACTTGACAGATTCATCCCTTTCTCTGTTAAACAAATTATCTCAGGATAGTATTCTTCTCTTTAGCATTCTATACTTTTCTGCTTTTACCAGAAGAGCTATACATTTACAGCCCAGAACACTTACTATTGTCATCACGTGATTTAATCAAATATTATATAAGCTGGTGAAGTATGAACGCAAATGGAAAGGCAGCTGCTGTTTCCAAAAGCACCAGGCTGGAAACTTCGGAAACTCCTGATAAGGATGCATCACATAAAAAAACACAATTAAGTTTGATATGGGTGACGTAATTATAAAAGACTGAAAAAAAGTGAAAATCTAGAGAATGTGCTCATTCAGATTGCTTTGTAAATACCTTTAAATTCTTCCATTATTGGAATTAAAGTAAAATCAGAGCTTACGGAAGAGGTACCGTGGGTGTGGCTTATGTAAGAATAGACGTGGGGGAACTGCAATTAGAAACTAAACAGGTCCATATATATGTGTCCATATATAGGTCCTATAATTCTACATTTTTATCAACTTTTTCTACTAGCCGCACAATCATAACTTAAAACTATAATAAATAAGAGAGTTTCCACTATAAGTCTAGGTTTATTACACCATATTTTTATTCAGTCACATGTTAGTAAGCTTATGAACACAGAGTCTCTATCTGATTCACTCCCCATTCTATCTTTAGTACTCTGTGTAATGCCTGGTATAAAGCAGCCTCTCTCAAATTACTTTTTTAAAATAAATGAGAACAAAATGGAAGTCTATTGTTTCTATTTTTTTCCCTTTCCAAAGAATTATATAATCATCAATAAAGTTTTATTATTATGGGCTGATCTGACCATAAAAAATGGACTAATTATAGAAAACAGTCTTTTAGTGGCATTTACTAAAATGGGGTTTCACATACACATGTATAAATATTTTCACTTTTACTATATCATTTGTCATAGCCCTGTTTTTTATATCAAATCTTTCTAAAAATACTTATTTGTTCCTATTCTACATCTTCATATAATTTCTATCTAATGCCACAGTGTTATTTCCTCAAGTTTGCAAATTAAGATCTTGAGTCAGAAAAGTTAACTTAATTTCTTAAAGGCAGATTCTCAATTATGTGTCAAATTCATGAGCTTCCAAACTCTAGTTTAGTACTAACTTTGCATTAATTAGGTTGTACCCTTGAAGAAACTATTGACACTCCCTGAGCCTCAAGTTTTTTCAGTTATCAGATGAGGTTTTTTGACTAGATGATCTCTAGGATGGCCTCTAGTCCTGAGTCCTCATTTTCTGCACCAGAAATTCTGGATTTTCTTGCAAATAAAAATGTAACTTCTCACTGATCTTCTTTCCAATATGAAAGACAGAAGACAACACACAGAGCTAAAAAATGACAAAAAAGATAAGGTGGAAACAAACATGTTAGTGAGTATGAAGTGGGGGATAAAAAGGGACAGAGAACAGGTGATGAATTTAATGTTAGCCTGCTAGTATAAACTTTTTTGGGGGGAAAATACCATGGAATATTTTATGTTCACGTAACCTATAAGAATTCTGCAATTACTTGTTTAAAGTAAGTTGCTCAATTGTAAGTTGCTCTGGCTGTGAGGTATGCAGCTTAAATATTAAGGACTTGATCAACTCTATATTTTATTATCATAACTAGGTAGAATATAGTCTTATTGAATTACATCATAAAACAATTGCTACAGAATCACTAAATCTTGATCTGAATGAATTTATAATTAAGTTTTATTCCTTAAACTATGGATAATATTTAGAGGCAATTAATACAAGTTCTTTCTATAAGCTACACCAATATTCCTTTTTCCTACTTCTTTAGCTACTTAAATAACTTAACTGGAACCACTGAAAAGAAATCTTAATACATTTGGTAAATAAAAATGATGTAGGGTTTCAGATGGTCCAATAAGACAAAGAATTTATCATTGGAATTCTGTTAAATAACTGCAGGAGTTGTATTTTTGTCTTGGAAAACTTTCATCATGGAACACAGCTGTGAAACAACTTTGGCTTCAAACAGAAAGGCTATATAATAAAGCTCCTCCTAGCTAGACTTAGGTTCAAGAGGTTTATGATGGCAAACAGCAAAGAAGATAAAATGTTTCAATAAGGCCCTCAGGCTGATTTAGTTAGCATTCACAAAGTGGAATAACCTATACATCACATACCCTTTGTTAGCTGGTTGTTTAGAATAGATGTGTGAGTCACTAGATTTTATTTTAGCAATTGGGCAATGCAATTCTCCTTTTGTCCAAAACATTAAAATGCAGAAATGTGAAACTGAGAGGTAATGTCAGATCTTATGCAGGATGCTTATCAACCACTGTGATGAATCAAGAAATTCTTCTGCTCTTGTCATTCCATGTTTCACCTTGGTAGGCACAAATGATAACTTACCTCGTGCAAAAAGAAAAAAAAAAAATCTATTATTAAACTAATCAGCAAACTACAGTATTTTTTTTTTAAATTGTGTTTGGAGGAGAGGTGTTGGTGGGGAAGCTTGCAAAAGAAAAGGAAAGTGGCATAAGAGAACGATAGGCAAGATTCTATCCTGCATCATTTCAAGTACAAATGAATCCCTCTGGAATTTGGGATATATGTATATATCCATGTAATACATATACGTGTGTGTGTGTGTGTATGTGTGTGTGTGTGTGTGTGTGTGTGTGTATATATATATATATATATACACACACACACATATGTATATATCCATGTAATATATTATTTTTCCCCCCCTCTCAGATACTGTTCAGAATTAATGAAGATACCTGCGACGATGCTGGCAAGCTGCTGGGTTCTGGTAACAGGATAGATGCTGCGTGCCTGAACGATTGCTGAAGCTATTTTCTTGGCATGCTTCTCCTCCCCGTATGCTCTCAGGATGGATGCAAGTGCCTGTTGATCTAAAGCGTTCACAACATCAGCTGCGGTGGGCATGTCAGGGTACCTACGCACAAGAAAAACTAATTAGTTCATTGACGTCAGTTTTAATTGACGAGGTGAAACTTCAGAGTATTGAGGCATAGAGTCAAGCATACGCACATAGTCTAAGAGAGCTTCTGAGATTTTTAAAGTTGAAGACTGAAATCTTACATGAATGAAATAGGTTTTCCATTTCAAATACCCATCATTATGGCAGGTGGAGACTGTGTATGACATTCATCAAGGTCAAGGCCAGCAGAAAGTTAAAATATTTTACTAACCTTTAATTCACAAAGAGGTTATTACTGCTCAACAGAGTTTCCCTAAACTAAAACAATTAAACTGTTTGGATTTAGTTTGTTCAAAATTTAAATACCTGCTTGAATTTTTTTTTCAGTATAGAAGATACAAGGCTTACTAACTGATATTTAAATGAGCCTAGATCTCAGGAATGTTAAGTAAATCTGAGACTGTCAAGTAACCAACTACTTATATGGGAGCACAAATGGAATTTAGCTAGTTCCCTCATCCCAGGGAACATGTTCCATGACTCCTAGCAGATGCCTGAAACCACAAAAAGTAGTGGACCCTATATATACTATGTTTTGCCCTATACATACACCATATACTTTATGAATTCTCTTTGGCAAATCTGAATTGCCAGCATCACTACTCTTGCACTATGGGGCCCTTGTTAAGTAAAATACAGTTTACTTGAATGCAAGCACTGCCATACTGTGACAGTCAATATGATAACCCAGATGGCTACTAAGAGACTAATGGATGATAAGCATATATAGGATGGATATGCTGGACAAAGGGATAATTCACATCCCGGGTAAGACAGAGTGAGACACCACGAGATTTCTTCATGCTACTCAGAATGGCACACAATTTAAACCTTATGAATTGCTTATTTCTGGAATTTCCCTTTTAATATTTTCAGGCTGCAGTTGACCCATAGGTAACTGAAACTGTGGAAAGTGAAATGGGGGCTAAGAGTGACTACTGTATAAGAAGATAATGCTGGTCAGTTCCTCTCACAAAAACTAGAATGATCTTAATACCAATAATGTATATTATTTCAAATGCTTAACAATACTGGCTCCTACCTCCATGACAAAAGACACCATGGGGTAAAACTCGGTAATCGGCAAGCAATACTAAACAAGCCTAGATTATAATTTCAGGTGAAAACAAAATACGACCCTCCAGCCAAATAAAATTAATCATAGTAGCAGGAAATAACATTTACTCTGTCAGACAATTCAAGTTTATCTTACTTTAGAGAAATGGGTCAAGGAATTCTAAGTGATAAGCTAACTGAGACTCTACTTATTAGAAAGATAGCTTTGCTAATAGTACAGTTACTGCATTGGACTGGTTGTTGATAACCATGCTTTAGGGACTTTAAGTAACAGGGATATGGTAGCTTTAAGACCTGAAGATCAAATCAGAGTGGGGTTGTCAAGAAACACCCAAATTCCTCCTTAAACGTACTACACTGAACATTGTTAACAAGCCTTGTGCCTTCAGGAGAAATTTTTGTTGTTCTTCCCTATTTTGCCATGACTTCCACCTCTCTCTCTATATCTTTCTCTTTCCTCTCTCTCTTTCCTCCCCTTCCTTCCTCCTTCCCTCCCTCCCTCTCTCTCTCTCTCAAATCTTGCATTTCAAAACCTGTGACCCTTGCTTTTATTTTTGTTTTTATTTATTTGGGGCTTCCATGGCACCCCTAGGCCAATGAACATCCTAGAAGGTAGCCCTGTTTCCATCTCAATAAGCTTTGCTCCTTCAATAATAGCTTTAAAGATAAAGATTTGGTCTTTAGAGTCAAACTGACCTAGATTAGAATCCTGGCCTTGCAATTCATATCAGGTAAATCTTTTAACCTATTTGCCTGAATTTTTAACCTATGAATGAAATAATGCTTACTTCACAGAATTGTTGGGAGCATTATATATTGTTTTAAAGTTTAATTCTCAAGGGCAATCTTATTTTCCAGTTCTTAGAGGAGAACCTAGGGAACCTTGATTCTCAGACTAGGATTTGCTGATACATCTTTACATTAACAATATGGGAATTTACTACTATTAACTAGAAGCTTTGTCATTGTATTTCAGAAGGCATCCTCCTTAGCAAGACAAAGGAACAGCAGAAATTTGCTTGACATTTTACTACCTCTGCACAACAACCTCAGTCTCCAAACATGAGAAGATATTTGACCTTTACTATTAGTCACTGGCTTTTAAAGGATTTTTATTATTTTCTTTTATGATCACATTCTTCAATCTATGAATGCCAACTTGTGCAAAAGAAAGTATAAGACTCAGAACAAAAAGAGTCTAACAGGTATAGGTCACAATCTCGGGTAACAGATCATATCAAAACATGGGGAAAAGGCTATATGTAAATAATAACCACAGGATAGAGCAGTTTGTGGGAAAGAAGTTAAAGTCAACTCAATATTAATTTGTTGACTTAAATGAAACTTTAAATTTTCTATATATTAGTTATTCTTGTAGATTGGAAGAAATTTTGGAAAACTTATTTGTTTCAGTAGAAATGTTTATGCAAGTGTAGAATTGTAGATTAGTAACATAACTGAATAGTTTGCTTAGTGATAAGAAAGTGTACTGTTCTCCTTAGAAGATGAGCTTCACAAAGGTAAGGGACAATGTACATAATTTGGTGGTGGTGGTGATGGGGACATGAAATGAAGGAGAAGGGCATGGTTAAACTTTTTAAGTACAAGCTGGCCAGTCTCTGGACCAGTGTTGGGCACAGAGACAAGTGCTAATCTAAGCCTTTAAAATTAATTTAGATTTGAAAAAATTATCCTATACTTTCCTAGAATGTGATCCTCTTTGTGTTATTTACTATAAATGTACCTACTTGGATAATGGAGATCAAACACTAATATCTCCAGGGTGGTTAGGAATGAAGAGGAGGTATAAACTATCCTCTGTAGAATACTGTTTGATATAGTACCATGAGTTGTAGTTTTTCTGAAGAAGGTGGAACCAAGGTGACTGCATAAGAGACAGGGAAAACACACAAATGCCAACCACTACGATTTTGACTTTTATGCGGTATTTAAAAGAATATGCATTAAATATACTTCACACAAGAGACATAGTTGAGCCTGCATAAAAATGAAACCATTGTTTCAGTATCATATTTATCAATATTGTTAGTAGTCTAAAAGCTCACATTGTAAAAAAGATAATCAGCCTGAAGTTATCATCTTCACTATTCTGTGTAAAGACAGCAATGATTTTTCTTTTAGAATCCCAAATCTAGAGAAACAGTAAAAACTATAATGAGTAGCAAACAAAACTGACTTATTATATATGGATAGTGTTAGATGTGGGCATGTAATGGGAATTCTGCAGTCTTAAAAGGGAATTAAATTCAAAGTGCTTTTGAGAAATTGATTTCTTGTTGTAAGGAGAAATGCTTTATCAATACTCACCTGTCACCATCCATTCTCATGTCCAAGGGGCCATCCTTCCGAAGGGAAAAACCTCTTTCAGGAGCATCGAGTTGCATGGAGGAACATCCGAGATCCAAAAGGACTCCATCCAAAGTCCCTGGCTGCACTCCAGCATTCATTAATAAGGCTTCTGCCTGGCTAAACTGGCCTAGTATAGCTCGGATCTGTTTACTGCGAATAAACCCAGGAGATGGAGATAATACTACTATTATGTTAAGATCTTTCTTAAGGTCTATGATCAATGGAATGAAGCACATCTTATTCTTAAACTGTTTAACCAATACATATTTACTAAGTGCCAAGCACATGCATAGTACTATATAAAGACATATGGCTACAGTGATTCTAAATATTTGGTTTCAACACCAGAGGTGCTTTAATGTAATTTTATTCTTGTTAATAAACACAATTTATTTTACGCCTTTGTGAAGGTATACAATAAGTTTATGAATTAGAAAAATTCTTTTGTCAGTCCAGGTCTTTTACTTTTTCTTTAAAAAAATACTTAAATCTCTGAGTCAAATAAAGAAGCATATGCAAATCTATCAAAAGAATAAATTTAGAGATAACAAATGCTGGAAATGCTGGTGAGGATGTGGAAAGAAGGGAACCTTTCTGCACTGTTGGTGGAAGGGTAAATTGGTACAGCCTCGATGGAATACAGTATGGAAGTTCTTCAAAAAATTAAAAACAGAACTACCATATGATCCAGCAACTCCACTTCTGACAACATATACAAAGGAAACAAAAACACCATTGTGAAGAGATTTCTGCACCTCCACATTCATAAAAGCATTATTTACAATAGCCATGACATGGAAACAACTTAAGTGTCCATCAGTGAATAAATGGATAAGAAGTGGTGGCGGTGGTGTGTGTGTGTTGGCCAAAAGTGGTTGAAAGCTAAAAACTTCCAGATAAAAAAGTACTAGGAATGTAATGTACAACATGATTACTAGCTAACACTGATGTGTGGTGTACATAAAAGTTGTTAAGAAAGTAACTTCTAAGAGTTCTCATCACAAGGAAAAGACATTTTTTTTCTTTTTTCTTTTTTTTTTGTTTCTATGTGAGATAATGGATATTAACTAAACTTGTTGAGGTAATCATTTCACAACATATGTAGGTCAAATCATTATGCTGTATACCTTAAATTTATACAGTGCTATATGTCAAATATTATCTCCATAAAATTTGAAAATAATAAATTTAATGAGTAAGTCAAATTAAATACCATAAGTAATAAAACAGGAATTACACACACAAACAGATATGTCAAATGTCTTCATGCCAACCATTTTAGCTTTCTTCATATTTTTCTCATAATCTAGGATAGGAGTGCTGTGAAGCTGCAAACTTGAAGAATGAAACTATGCCTAAAATAAATGCCTTCTTGCAAAAGCAGTGTTTTAGCTCTCAGCAGGGATTTTGAAGTGAATGGAGCTTAATCAACAGACAGGCAAGAAGTTGGGATCACCTTGCAGCTATACTAACTCTCCTTCCTACACGAACTGAGATGCTGCCTTCAGGGTTCTTCAGAAGCCTTAGGGCAACTGGCATGCATTTTGGAAGGAGAATAAGAAGAAAAAAGTGCGCAACATTCCCAAAACCTCATTTTTTCCATCTACAGGTGGGTGGGGTGAGTGTGGATTTCAACAGTGTTGAGGAATTTATATTTATGATATTAACTTATAGGTTATGTTGTTTAAGGAGAATTTCACAGCTCATTGGTATTTTTTTTCTCAAATTCTGATGAAGAAAGGGATCTTCAGATTCACTCACCAAATATTCATTGAATAGCTGCTATGTGTCAGGAACCTACATGATAGGAATTATGCTATTCAGACGTATATGAAGATTCATAAAAAAGATTAATAAAGTATGGCTTTCTGAGCTTTGAGGTAAAAGGAAAAGATGTATAAATAAATAGTTTGCATAACAATCTGATGAGTGCTAACAGTGGAGAGACAAACGAATTGTTATGGCTGTACAGGCATGCCTCATTTTATTACACTTTGCGGATATTATAGTGTTTTACAAATTGAAGGTTTACAGCAAACCAGCATCAAGATAGTCCATCAATGCCATGTTTCCAAAAGATCTGCTCAATTCGTGTCTGTCACATTTTGTTAATTCTCGCAATATTTCAAACTTTTTCATTATTATTATATTTGTTATAGTAATCTGTGATTAGTAACTTTTGATGTTACTATCGTGTTTTGGGGTACCACAAACTGTGCCAATGTAAGATGATGAACTTAAATAATAAATGTGTGTGTGTTCTTACTGTTCTTTGGACCTCCTTATTCACGATACATAACAATATTGAAATTAGGCCAATAACCCTACAATGGCCTCTAAATGTTCAAGTAAAAGGAAGAGTTATATACCTCTTACTTTAAATTAAAAACTAGAAATGATTCAGCTTAGTAGGGAAGGCATGTCAAAAGCTAAGACAGTCTGAAAGCTAGGCATCTTGCACCAAACAACTAAGTTGTGAATGCACAGAAAAAGTCCTTGAAAAAAACTAAAAGTGGTACTACAGTGAAAACAAAAAGGATAAGGAAGCAAAACTGCTTTATTGCTTATATGGAGAAAGTTTTAATGGTCTGGACAGAAGATTAACTACAAAATTCCCTTAAGCCAAAACGTAATCTAGAGCAAGGCCCTAATGCTCTTTGAATTTCATGAAGGATGAGAGAGATAAGGAAGCTGCAGAAGAAAAGTCTGAAGCTAGCAGAGGTTGGTTCATGAGGTTTAAGGAAAGAAACCATCTCCACAAAATAAAAGTGCAAGGCGAAGCAGCACATACTGATGTAGAAGATGCAGCAAGTTATCCAGAAGATGCAGCTGCAGCTAATGTAATTAATGAAGGTGGCTACCTTAAACAACAGATTTTAAATATAGAAAAAACAGCCTTATATTAGAAGAGGATGCCATTTAGGATTTTCATAGCTTGAGAGAAGTCAATTCCTGGCTTCAAAGCTTCAAAGAACAGGCTGACTCTCTTGTTGGGGCTAATGCAGCTAGTAACTTTAAGATGAAGCCAATGCTCATTTACCATTCCAGAAATCCCAGTGCCCTTAAGAATAATGCTAAATCTACTCTGTCTGTGCTCTAGAAATGGAACAACAAAGTCTAGATGACAGCACATCTATTTATTATATGATTTACTGAATACGTTAACCCCACTGTTGAGAACTACTGCTAATAAATGCCTAACAGCATTGCATGTTATAGAGAAATTGTGAAAGGAAGAGTCTATGCAGAAACTTCCTTGTTGTCTTATTTAATCATGTTCCTTGTTGGTGAGGGAGGGATTCCCATTCTATGATAATAGGAATGGCCAAACGCATGGTACCTGACACTGGACAGATGAGATTGACAAGAGTTAATTAATCTGATATACTTATAGCCCAGGGAAGGAACATACCACATGCCATATGCATGGATAAATGTGGGTAGCACTCAGGAACAGAGGAGACAACCAAAGGCTGTGGAAAGCAGGTTTTTAGTATCAGGAGAGTGGAGTGCCCCTTGGATCCCATGTGAGGATGTGATTGACTTGTTTGATAATTCCATGCCTAGCAGGGTACTCAGGGATAAGCAGTTATTGTGCCTGATCTCTTTGATAAGGAGAGTCATTTAGCTAAGGAACCCTATCCGTGGGAGCACAGTGGGGAGAACTTGTGCTTAGGCCATTTGGGGCTCTCTCAGTATTCCTCAGATGTCAAGAACACATAATATTGGCCTTTAATTTTAGGCCTTATTCCACAATAACCTACCTCATATTTGAATACCCAGTCATAAGAACTCACTTTTTTTTTTGGCCAGTTCTTTTTTTAGTTGATAGCTGTTTCCTAACTATTTCTATAACTTTGTCCCTGGTATCAGTCTATGTAAAACAACTGAAAACCTAAAACCCATTGCAGCCTTTCATATAACTACTGTCAGCTGTCGTAAGGAATATTTGTTGGCTACCTCAAAATTTCAACCATATATTTTGGGAGAGATTGATAGTTTGTGTCAACTTGGACAGGCTATAGTACCCAAATATTTAATGAAATACTGATCTAGGTGTTGCTGTGAAAGTATTTTGTAGATGTGGTTAATATTACAATCAGCTCACTTTAAGAAAAATAGATTATCTTCAGTAATGTGGGTATGCCTCATCCAGTTAGCTGAAAGACCTTGAGAGCAAAAACTGAGGTTTCTCAAAGGAAGAAGAAATTTTGCCTTGAGACTGCAATATCAGCCCATGTCAGAGTTTCCAGCATGCTAGCCTGCCCCACTGATTTCAGACTTGCTGATCCCCCTAGTCGTGTGAGCCAATTCTTTGAAAGAAATCTCTTTAGATGATAATTGATAGATAGATGATAGATGGGTGGATGGATAGATGGATGAAAGATAGAGAAATGATAGATGATAGATAGATAGATAGATAGATAGATAGATAGATAGATAGATAGATAGATAGATGATAGATAGATAGATAGATATAATCTCTTTATATATATACGCATATACATACATACGCACAGACCTGATTATTGCCAGCAGATTTCTTGACCAAAGAAGAGAGAGGATGGCAGCCAGTTTTTAGCTAAAATTGCAGATGGAAAAGCTGAGAGAAAGATTAACTAGGCCACTAGACTAAGCCTCACCTAAAATCCAACTTGTCTCTGAACTTTTGAGTGATATGAGCCCATAAATTACCTGTTATCAAAACCAGTTTGAGTTGGTTTTTCTTTTACTTACAATGAAAAACATCATAACTTTATAGCTATCATACTCCTCAAGTTTTTCTCTAAACAAAACTTAATTCTTCTGCTACTCTCCATATAAAAATCTTTCACCATGCTAGTTGCTCTTTCCTGAATGTGTTCCAATTTGCTGATGTTCCTAGGTCTGAATTCCAAAATGATCAGCACAGAATAGATTCTTGTCCCTATTAATTCAGCTGAAGATCAAAATAGTTTTAGAATTTATTTCACACCATTGACTTATACTATTACCCTTGATTCTTTGACACGTACACTACTGCTAATAAGCCTGTTTCTTCCATTACTGTACTTGTTTTGTTCTGTTAATTATTTTAGAACTATGTACAATTTCCACTCTACACATTTTCTACAACTCTTTTATCTTCAACCTTAGAAATCTTTACACAA